TAATATAAGGATATATAATATAAGCACTGCGTGCTCTACTGTTTGTGGACGTATAAGAGGCAGAAATCCGTGGGTCAAGAATTGTAAAGGACAAAAGTAATGCAACAGGCAGCCTCCTGTGGCATCCTCCTGTGTGGTGTGAGCTGGAGTATCCCGCTGCTCATGGTGCTGCGGTCCCCCTCTAGTGGCTCCGCGGGGATGTCTCCTCCAGAGTCCTGCCTTATTCCTTATTCAGTTGGATTGCACTGTCTGCCAGCTGGCAGCTCCAGCGTGTTTGAATTAGAGAATCACAGCAAGTTCTGCATCCCTTTGAAATCAGTTGTATTCAGGGCTCTTTGTTCCATATTGCATGGCTTTAAATGAAAAAAAAAAATCCCTGAAGCATGGAAACAGTAGGTAATTGAAATTCTTCATTTCCTCGTGTCGTTAGTTCCTGCTCCCTTCAGATACATTTTCCCCATGTTCTGCCCAAGAGAACACAAGTGAGGTCGGGTGTACAGAGACACTGAAGGTGCAGGTTCAGGACACAGCACCTCCAATAGCCGACTCCTGGAAAACCCAGCTTTCTGCCAGCACACCTCTGTTGATCTCTGCTCCAAGCCCCTAAGCTGCAAGAGAATTAAGCAGTTCTTGTGACCTCTGAGAGCGATGGGGTATATCTTAGAAGAGCTGGGACCATAGAAATGTCTTCTGCTGAATTGTAGACTAGCCCATTGAGTGCTGAACCCTTTTGTCTCTGAGCAGTAAAGTCTTGCCCACAGTATGAGCTTAATATGAGTTGACGGAATAGAATCAGGACTCAGTGCATGTGTGTATATGACACCCCATCTCAATTCTGGTTTCATAGGGAAAATGCATTATTTCCCTTGGCATACTCTCCCTTCAGAATCATCTGAATACTTGAAAATAGTCCCTGAGGAGATACACACTGTGCAATAACAAAGTACTCCTGTTTTTTCATCTCTTCTTGGAGTCACACCTAAAACTATTAGTGTAGACCGTGCCTGCTCATAGACTGTGACATGATTTGCTTTAATCTGAGATGCAGACGTCTGAATAGTGGTGATGTGGGGACATTGAGTCCATCCATTTTGGACTCTTCTAGAGAGTCTACCAATCTGACAATTTGATCTAACAATCCAAATGTGCTGCTATTTGAGGGAATGATGTCCAAGGAGGGGCTATGGCAGCCTCATCAGGGATGGTGCAGAGAAATGTTCAACACAGGGAGTTAGTGGAGAATTAGATAAAGTCTAAGGTCCCTGCTAATGTTGTTATAGGAGTCTGCGATTCTTACTCTACATTTTGAAATATTCTGGTCTTATGAATCAATCAATGTAGGTTTTGTTTTAAAAATAAAAAATTTAGATGGACAATTGTGAATAAGTGCAACTAAACCCTAACCTTTGTCCCAGTCAACTAGTACATTGAGGAAATTGTTCCCTTTTTGTGCTAGAATATCTCATGCATGCTTTTTCGACCCCTTTGATATCCCTTTCCTCTTCTATTCTATCACCTGGATCTCAGCTCATTGCCAGGCATTGCTTTTCCTAAACAAGATCCCCTACCCCTGGTTGTGCATGACTTCCCAAGACCCCCCCATCTGTTGCTCTGGCATCGTCTTGATCTTCTACTTTCACTGCTACCTTGCTAAAGTGGACAAGACTGGTGGGAACAGAAAGAATACCTGCTACTTTAGAGCAAACTCTGTCACCGGTCACAACACTCTCTGCATCTCCTGATAGTTTTCATTTTGGCCAGATATCACAGTTGGTTGTTGTTCTTCAAAAACTGGGAAGCAATCTGAACCAGAAAGTAAAGACTTTGGGGAGGAGGTTGACCAATTGGTTTAAGGAAACCAGGGTCTCCCAGGATAGAAAGAACTAATATCTCAAACCCTACACCCTGAAAGAGTCAGCATTAGGGAGTCCTGTTGAGAAGGACCACTGAGATGGCTTAGGGCCCTCTGAAACAAAATGGATCTAAAGGAGCAAAGAGATGAAATTAAGAGGAAAAGTCTTGCACTGACTTGGGGATGATGTGGTCTGGGTCTTTGGAAGTTCTGATCCCGCCTGGGGATGGTCAAGGTGTGATCTGAAAGAAGATGTCTGAACCTTTCTTTGTGGAGCAGAATGTTGGGAGGATTGTCTTCTCTCAAAGAGCTCTTATAAAATAATCAGTGCTGTGGCATGTACCACTAGAACCTAAACCTGCTGCAGGTGTTTCTATAGCATAGCATGTGATTGAGGAAGGATTAAAGCAGAGGTTCTTCCCATGGGGCCAAGTTCCTAAACCATTATTAATCCCAGAACTGAGTGGCATTTGTTTTTTAACAACGGACACAATTTCAAGCCAAAGAGCTGACACAGGATGTCTGGTGGAATTCCAGAAATCAGTAAGTAAATGGGTGAGGATGATTTGGGGAGCTGGAATAATGGGGTCTGACAATGCTTCTGAAATCCACATGGATAATCAGCAATTTCACATTCTCTGCTTGTGAATAATTGAACTTGATAGAGTTTGTATATAACAAGACTAATATTTTCTCCAAAATTCTTCTGTGATCTCATATTCAGGGTGTCCTTTCAGTGTTTCTTCATTTTATGTCTCACTCCAGGTTTGCAGCAAACAGTTCCACATGACCTCATCAGGCTAAGCAAAGGGACCAACATCTATCTCAGCACTTCAGGAGACCATAATCATTGAACATTTATACACAAAGAATGGGCTAAGGAAATACCTGTGACATACTTATACTTTTGCTCATTTCAGATACAAAGATACTAATTCTGTTTTAAAAGATTACGTTATTTCCAACTGTGCTAAATCTTGCTTGATATAATTCTATTTTAGCATGCACTTTAGAGTGACAGGAAAATTACTCAGTTCTTTAAAAAATAACTTTACATAATGATTTATTAGAGCAAGAAATAATTTGATATTATTTCTTTTGGGAAAGAAAAAAGTGTATTTTAAATACATCACATACAGACTCCCGGTAAAATTAACCTACTTTCAGAAACCTTATCATGTTCTTTTCTAGTTTAATGATCATTACATTTGTCTTGCAATCAATTTGAAATAAACCACAAAACAATAGTGAATAGAACTGGCTATAATTTAGGAAAAATATGGAATACCAAGTTAATAATAGAATTTACAAGAAGGGGATGAAAAAAATTAGTCCTGCTGTCAATAGTATGACTTACATACATAGGACTGGACTCTAGGGTATTTTAAAGTTATAGGTAGCAGCTAAAGGACTCTTGATACCAACATTCTTTCCTTTTAAATGCAGCTAAATATTATTCTATAACATATACTTCTAAATTTAATGTTGATTTTATTATAAATTTTAGCTTCAGTTAAAAATCTATTGAGTGATTTTTTCCCCCATTTGCTTTGGTTGGTTACAAGCAACAGAAACTAACTTAAGCTAAAAATAAATTATTGAAAAATTGGGGATAGATCATGGAATTAAGGAAAAGCTGAAATTCTAAGCTGGAGGGTTTTTTTCATGAGCTGATATTCATCCACTGAGCCACACTGGCCAGGCTGTGCTGGCATTTTAAAGGTCAGTATGTAACAGCCTTGTCTCTCCAGAATTTGGGAGCAGGTGAGGATTTATTACGATGAGGATTAAAAATTACATTTCTCAAGCCAGAATGGATTGCCATCAAATATTCAAAGTGATAAAAAGCAAGGACCTATATCCAAGATTATCCAGCAAAGCTACAACTTAGAATTGAAGGAGAGATAAAGAGCTTCCCAGACAAGAAAAAGGTAAGGAGTTCATCACCACCAAACCAATATTACAAGAAATGTTAAAGGGACTTTAAAAATATGTTTTTATTGATATTTAGAGAGAGGGGAAGGGAAAGGGATAGAGATATAGAGACATCGGTGAGAGGAACGTTATCAATCAGCTGCCTCCTACGCTCCTCAGCCTGCAACCTGTCATGTGCTCTGGCTGGGAATCAACTCCACCAGTTCCTGGGTTGATGCTCAACCACTGAGCCACCCACACTGGTGGGGCTAAAGGGACTTCTTTAAGAAGATAGGGAAAAAAAAGATTAAAACCGTGACTAATAAAATGGCATTGACTACATACCTATCAATAATTACTTTAATGTAAAGAATTGTAGTGCTCCAATCTAGAGACATAGGGTTGCTTAATGGGTAAGAAAACAAGACCCATATGCTTCCTACAAGAGATCCACTTCAGATTGGAAGACACAACCAGGCTGAAAGTAAAGAGATGAAGAAAAAATTATATTTTATGCAAATGGAATGGAAAAAGCTGAAGTAGACAAATCAGACAAACCAGACTTTATTTATTTACTTTTAATATATTTTTATTGATTTCAGAGAGGAAGGCAGAGGGAGAGAGAGAGAAACATTAATGATGATAGAGAATCATTGATTGGCTGCCTCCTGCACACATCCCACTGGGGATTGAGCCTGGAACCTGGGCATGTGCCCTGACTGGGAATCCAACCATAACCTCCTGGTTTATAGGATTATGCTCAAACACTGAGCCATGTTGGCTGGGATGGACAAAACAGACTTTAAAATAAAGTCTATAACAAGAGGAAGCAGGACCCTGTAAATTCGTTCTCAGGTCCTTTAAGAGGAATACCTGGACTCCAGCAGCCTCGTGTCAGTCAGCCACAATCACTGCTGGTTTTTACAGCTCAAAGTTATGGAAACTTCTCTTTCCAGCTCTGGAGCTCTGGTGTGCAGCTGGGACCCTCTGCTTCTCACGGGAGGCCTTGGAGATATTCCTCCTGATTTAAAAAAAACACCATACATGATTGTTGGACCAGCCTGTTTCATGCCTCTGCCCCCCTACCAGTCTCAATGTGGCTCCTTCTTTACTTCTCTAGTTGTAGGACTTCCATTCAGCCAGATTTCAGGTGTTTCTGAATGATGGTTGTTCTGTATTTTAGTTGTAATTTTGATGTGGTTGTGGGAGGAGGCGAGTGCAGGCGTTTACCTATGCCGCCATCTTGGTTTTCCGTCATTGTCTTATGGACAAAAGTTTTTAATTTTGATGAAGTCCAACTTATCTATTTTTGTCAACATGTCTATTTTTAAGGACTATTTATTTATGAAAAAAATTATCCTATCTTTTGGTTTCTATTATGTACACTATTTGGATATCTTGCTATTTGAAAACCTTACAATCTACATATACATCCCACACCTTAATAAAAACCATCTTTATTGATTACCAGGTCTTCACCCACAGGAGGCTGAGCAAAGAGGACAGGCTTGGGTTTCATGACAGCTCCTCAGCTCTAGCAGTGACCACATGTGTGACGTGGGACAAGTCACTCAGACTCTCTGGAATTCAGCTCACCAGTAAAATGGGTCTAGGTTATGTATTCTCCAAGGGTTCTTTCGTTTAAAAAAAATGTATGGCCTCTTCTATGATTCTTTTTTCTTCCATTCCCTTGCATTTTATCAATGGTGAGATGTCTATTTCCCTCTTTCAGTAAATACACTGGCTGCCCCTGCCCTTTCATTTCTTCTGCCCCAAGGTTCATTCATACCTTTATCGCCTTATGTCTAGACAGTAGCATCCAGAAGGTCTCCATTCTCTCTCTCAGTAAAAAGCATTGAATTACGAAGTACATTTTTCTAAAAACATCTTTTGTCTTGATTTTGCTCTAATCAGAGATCTACAATGGTTTTCCAGTTCCTACCAAATATGACATTAATCCTCAGGGTCTCAGCAGACTGATCTGAACTTACATTTCCAAACTGATATTGTTTTCCTCTCTTTAGGAGCTCTTCTCCTGACCCAAACTTTTCTGGTCACCTTTTCCTTAATTGTTTCCTACCCCCTCATCTAAATCCCTTAAAAATGTCTTCTTTCACACTTATATTTAAATCTTACCCTTCAGTCAAAGCCCAGCTCCCATCCTGTGCTTGATAGGAATTCTGTCCACCTCTGCCAGACTGCAATTGTCTCCCCTCCATCTGAAGTGCTATGAGGGCTCACTGCCCACATTACATTTCGCCTTGACTATGATTTGCTGTGTAACCATATCTTTGAAAACATGGATGATATTGGATCACTATTTTATTCTCAGAGTATAGTTCAGCACCTTGTGCAATATGTGTGCTTATGTATTAGTTACTTGAGCTTATAATCTCTTGTAAATATCCAGAATATGTAGATTTGAATGATAATTCTTCAACACCAATTGCATGTACTATGAAATGCACCCTCCCCCATCCACATAAGCATGCATGCATGTTGAGAGAGAGAGAGAGAGAGAGAGAGAGAGAGCTTTTCTTTGGAGTTCAGGTGAAAAAGTGTCTGGAGACCAGTCTGGCTTGCAGAACCTTAGGAAATGTTAATAGGATTGCATTAGTCAAGAGTAGCTTTTAAGCACCCAATCCCTAGTTGATTCCCATTTTTAGTCCTACCTCAGAAGCAGCAACCAACCCAGAATTGATGGCCACTTTCTAGAATCCTTCAGTGGAATCCAAACCTACGCAAGATGTTTCTTTCTCTTTCTTCAGAGTATTTTTTTATTGTTTAAAGTATCACATAGTAGAGTACATATATCTCCTTTTTTCCCCCATTGACCTCCCCCCAGCCTCCCCTACCCCCTGTCGCATGCCCTCATCCCACCCCCCAGTGTCTTGTGTCCATTGGTTGTGCTTATATGCATGCATACAAGTCCTTC